GGCTGGGTGACAGAGTGAGACTCCATCTCAAAAAAAAAAGAGAGAGAGAGAGAGAGAGCTTACTCCAAGAGGTCTGGCTGGCCAAGACACTCCATCTGCTACACACTTGGGCCCACCACAGGCTTCATGCTGAGCCATGCTCTGCCCAGCCTGCACCAGCCAATGACACTGCATGCTAGGGATTCCAGATTTAGTCCATTCCTGCCTTACAAATAGCTCCAATGTGGACAGTCTGCTCTGGGCTCTCTGCAGAGCTCTCAAACAGTTGTCAGACCTGTATTATGGTCAGGATGCTCTCCATGAATATTCATTTTCTTTATTTTATTTACTTTTTATTTTTACTTTAGATAGGATTTGGAATGCAGTGGCTCGATCATGGTTCACTGCAGCCTCCACCTCCTGGGCTCAAGTAATCCTCCCACCTCAGCCTCCTGAATAGCTAGGATTACAGATACATACCACTATAACCAGCTAATAATTTTCTTTTTTTGTAGAGACAGTGTCTTGCCATACTGCCCAGGCTGGTCTTGAACTCCTGGCCTCAAGTGGTCCTCCTGCCTTGGCTTCTCAAAGTGTTGGGATTATAGGCATGAGCCACTGTGTCCATCCATGCCTTTTAAATTTTTTTTTTGTTTTTTTAAGTTATTATTATTATTATTTTTTGAGACAGAGTCTTGCTCATTAGGTTACCCAGGCTGGAGTGCAGCAGTGTGATCTCAGGTCACTGCAACCTCCCTCTCCTGAGTTCAAGTGATTCACCTGCCTTGGCCTGCCAAGTAGCTGGGATTACAGGTATCCACCACCACACCAGGCTGATTTTTTGTCTTTTTAGTAGAGATGGAGTTTTGCCACATTGTCCAGGCTGGTCTCAAAGTCTGGACCTCAGATGATCTGCCTGCCTTGGCCTCCCAAAGTGCTGGGATTACAGGCGTGAGCCACCTCACCTGGCCCATCTGTGCTTATTCTTGCTCCCACTTTCCTTTATGCTTCACAGGCTTTTTTTTCCCTGTCAATCTCTTGCACATCAAATTCCACCTCGGCATCTGCTTCTTGTGTTATAGAACCAAACTGGGATCAGCTCACCTGGTTCCTCCTTTGTTCATTGTTCTCTTGTGGCACAATGACTACCTGGAGTACCCTTCCTGCAGTCCAGGAAGTTAAAAATTGTGTTGCTGAAAGAGCCTTTGTCTCAGTGCTAATTTTTCTTTGTGGTACTGAGCATGTATTTCCAACATGTATTTCTAACACTACCTGAGGCCAGGAGTTAGAGACCTGCCTGGGCAATACAGCAGTACCCCATCTGAATGAAATTTAAGAAAATTAGTCAAGCATGGTGGTGCAAACCTGCAGCTGGGATTACAGGCCACCATGCCCAGGTAATCAGTAGAGACAGGGTTTCACCATGTTGGTCAGGCTGGTCTCGATCTCCTGACCTCAAGTAATCCACCTGCTTTGGCCTCCCAAAGTGCTGGGATTAGAGGCATGAGCTGCTGTATTTGGCCCCAAACTGTTTTTGTTAAAGACAGGGTCTCACTCTGTCACTCAGGCTGGAGTGCAGTGGCACAATCATAGCTCACTACACCCTTGAACTTCTTGGCTCAAGCAGTCTTCCCACTTAACTTGCTGTGGAGCTGGGAACACAGGAACTTTTCTACTTCCCACAATTCCCTCCTCTTTTACTGTATACTTTTTCCTTCTCAATCTTTTAAAAAATGTTTTGGCTTAGTTGTTCTGCCTGAGTTTTTAAAAGAAAAGCTTCTCTCTCTTTTATCTTTACACTATTTCTTTCATTAGTTTTACTTCCCATCTCTCTCTCTCTTTCACACACACTTTCTCTATTTTCTGACATACGTCAACCCTTTTTTTTTTAACATTTTGCTGGCCAGAGCGGGACTTGCCTTGGGCTGCTGCTTGTGCTGCTGGCTATAATTACCTTCTTGCTTATCATGTTTGGCAATGACTTTTCAGGGCTAAGTGCCTGGAATTTTTCTTGAAGAAATTCAAGATTTTTTTTTTTTAATGTTCATGCTTGCGTGGGCCTGCAGGCTACTGCACCTTCTCACTTGGAGCACCTGAATTGACAGAGGCAGTATTTACACGTGCAATCAATACTATCTCACTCATCAATTCCACTCCTGATGTATTCCCAATAGAAATGACGGCTTATACTGGCAGTAGCAATAGGGTGGCTCGCGCCTGTAATCCCAGCACTTTGGGAGGATTCAAGACCAGTCTGACCAACATGATGAAACCCCATCCCTACCAAATACAAAAAAAAATTAGCCAAGTGTGGTGGCACATGCCTGTAATCCCAGCTACTTGGGAGACTGAGGCAGGAGAATCGCTTGAACCCAGGAGGCAGAGGTTGCAGTGAGTCGTGATTATGCCATTGCACTCCAGCCTGGGCAACAAGAGCAAAACTCTCTCTCCAATTGAAAAAAAAAAAGAAATGAGGGCTTATGTCCACCAAAATTCATTTATAGAATATTCATAGCAACTTAATTTGTGATAGCTAAAAATTAGCCAGATGTCCAACAGCAGAATGGATATATAAAATTGTGGATATATAATATAATGGATTATTACACTGTAATGAAAAATAACAGTCAGTATCTGCAATAACATGGGTAAACCTCCCAGACATAAAAGAAGCTGGATGATCAAGAAATCTCATTAACTGAGTAAAGGAATACATAAGAAGGGAAGCTACAGGAGTCCACTTAGATTTACGAAAATCATTAGGGATGTAGAGTGAGGATTTTTTTCTGAATCAGGGTCTTACTCTGTCATCCCGGTGGGAGTGCAGTGGGGCAATGTCGGCTTATTGCAGCCTCAACCCACTCCCCCACCCAAGACCCCTGGGCTTAATCAGTCCTCCCCCCTCAGGCTCCCAAGTAGCTGGAATAACAGGCATGTACCACCACACCTGGCTAATTTTGTACATTTTTTGCAGAGACCAGAGCTCCCTATGTTGCTCAGGCTGGGCTCGAACTGCTGGGCTCAAGCAATCCTCCTGCCTCTCAAAATGTTGTTAGAGAGCAGAGTGAGGATGTTTTTGAGGACTGTGGTAAACATCCTCCTCATATTCATGTCCTGTATAATCCTCTCCCTTTGAGCATGGGCTGGACCTAGGGAATACTGGGACTCTTTCTTTTCTTTTCTTTTTGAGAAGGAGTTTCACCTTCTAGGCCAGGCTGAAGTGCAATGGTGCAATTTCAGCTCACTTCAACCTCCACCTCCCGAGTTTAAGTGATTCTCCTGTCTCAGCTTCCCAAGTAGCTGGGATTACAGGCATGTTCCATTACATCCAGCTAATTTTTGTATTTTTAGTTGAGACAGTGTTTCACCGTATTGGTCAGGCTGGTCTTGAACTCCTGACCTCAGGTGATCCACCCACCTCCGCCTTCTAAAATTCTAGGATTATAGGCCTGAGCCATAATGCCTTGCTGGACCTAGCTGCTATTTTCTAAGTAGCAATAGAATATGTGAAAGTGATGGGATGTCACTTCTGGGATTAGGTTACAAAAAGACTGTGATCACACTCTCATTTTCTTCTTCTCTCTCTTCCTCTTTCTCCTCCCTATCCCTGGGTCAAGCCAGCTACTTCTTATGGAGAGGTGCAAATAAACAGAAACTGAAGTCTCCAGCCAACAGACAGAGAGGACCTGAGGCCTGCCAGCAGCTATAGAAGTGAGTTTGAAAGAGGACTGTGAAGCCTTGAGAGAGCTGTGGCCCTGGCTGACAGCTTGACTGTATCTTCATAAGAGCCTGAGCTAGAGGACACAGCTAACCTCACCCAGATTCCTAGCCCAAGGAAACTGAGGGGAAAAAAAAGTTTATTGTTTATTAAGCTGCTAAATTTGGGGCAATTTTTATCCAACAATAGGTAACGAATACAAGGATATTGCTGATTACTCAAAATCACTATATAAAGCCCCCGAAAAATTGAAAGCTGCAACTAGGGAAACACTGAGAGTCTCCAAGAACACTGTGTTTCTTCTTAGAGACAGTGAGAAAAACACATATATGTGTTTTCCTTTTAGTTTTGGCCACCAGGAAGCTCAGAGCCAAATATGTGACCCAATTTTAATAACTGTGTAAGCCTCTATGATGTGCTTATCTGTGTTCTTATTCCTGGCCTTTCATTTTATTCTGACTTTCTCTTTCTCTCTCTTTTTTTTTTTTTTTTTTTGAAACAAGACGTAGTTTTGATCTTGTTGCCCAGGCTGGAGTGCAGTGGCATGATCTCGGCTCACCTCAAACTCTGCCTCTCAGGTTCAAGAGATTCTCCTGCCTCAGCCTCCCAAGTAGCAGCTGGGATCACAGTCATACACCACCATGCCTGACAAATTTTGTATTTTTAGTAGAGACAGGGTTTCTCCATGTTGGTCAGACTGGTCTTGAATTCCTGACCTCAGGTGATCCACCTGCCTCGGCCTCCCAAACTGCTGGGATTACAGGTGTGAGCCACTGCGCCTGGGCCTGACTTTTTCTTTTCTTCCTACTGATTTTATTAGCTCATCTATATTTTTTTATGTGATATGAATTATGGTAAACCACCTCAAATTCAGCTTACAAAGAAGCAAGACATTTGTAAATTTTCTTTTTTTGTGACTCTCACTTTATGTCCCAGGATGGAGTGCAGTGGCGCGATCTCAGCTCACTGCAATCTCCGCCTCCTGGGTTCAAGTGATTCTCGTGCCTCAGCCTCCCAAGTAGCTGGGATTACAGGCGCGCACCACCATGCCTGGCTAATTTTTTTATTTTTATTTTTAGTAGAGACGGGGGTTTCACCATGTAGGCCAGGCTAGTCTTGAACTCCTGACCTCAAGTGATCCACCTGCCTAGGCCACCCAAAGTGTTGAGATTGCAGGCGTGAGCCACCGCGCCCAGCGCACAGATCATTTTTTAAAAACACTTTTTAAATTTAAAACATAGTTTTGCACATGTTGAACACAACGTTCCCCGGGGTAGTGGTGAGAAGATCAGGTCATAGGAGGATGGCTCAGGAGCCCCAAGCATTGGCCAGAGGTGATTTGGATTGGGTAAGAAATATCAAGTGATAACGACGGAAAAGGGAAAAGAAAAAGGATAGCAACTGATTGCCATCCCCAAAGGGAGGGGCCGGCCGAGGGCTCACCCAGTCACCCACAATGGGATCCTTGCAACGCGTTGCTGGCAACGGCTCCCCTAGTCCCTCCCGCCCAGTCCCGCCCCTCACCCGGAACTCGCCCCACCGGGCCCCGCCCTCACGCACGCCGCGGCGCACCGCCTCAGTCTCCGCCAGCCAATCCGGCCTCTCCGGTGGTTGCGCGCTCCGCCCCCTCCGGTCCGGGCACGTCTCCCCCGCTCGGCACGCCTCCCCCGTTCTGTCCGCCTCACTCCTTTCTGGGCTGTTGGGCCGCGCGCCTGTGGGGGCGGGGCCCGGGGCAAGCGACCCAGCGTAGCGGGTCGGTGGCCGCTGCTGGATCTGCCCCGGCGGCGGCGGCGGAAGGAGGCGGTGGCTGCTGAAGGGGGAAGATGGCGGCGTCTGTCCTGCCGAGAGTGTCGGTGCAGCTGTGTGCGCTTCCGGGATCCTGCTCAACTTCTACACCGACTACGTGGAGGGAGAGAAGGAGTGGGACGCCTAGCACCTGACCCTCTGCAACTTGGGGTCCTGGATGAAGTGCTCCACCGCCCTTGCCTCCAGGTAGCCAGCGTTGGGGAGTGGGCCGGGAGCGGCCGCGCGGGGCGAGGGCGGAGGCTGGGGGTTGGGAGCGAGAGGAGGGAGCTCGGGCCTGGGGGCGGCGGGGACCCGGCCGCGGGGGAACGGACGGGGTCTGGTCCGGGACTGGGCGGGGGGCGACCGCCCTAGCCCAGGCCACGCCGCGAAGGGGCCTCGAGGCCGCCAGGGAGAGATGAGGTGACAGAGTGCAGCCGGGAGGCCGCGGCGGTCGGGTTGCTGTTGGGCGGGCGGGAGGGTCTCAGGAGGGTGGGTCCCGGCCGGCCTGACAGGTTTCCTGGTTCTCGGGAAGGAGGGCCGGGGGTGTGGGACCTTGTCCGCCGTACCCGCGAGGCCAACGGCCACCTCTTGTCCCCCTATCGCTGCAGCCGATGCTTTAGGGGCCGGCGCGGACTCAGGGGGCTTGCGTTTCTCATTGTCTTCCTGGTGCTAGAACAGGTGTTTCCGTGGCCGGGCTCTTTGTACTCCAGCGCTAGTGAGAATTTGTAGACTTACTGGGACGGTGACATTTGCGGGCAAACACAAATTTGACCCCACTCTGGAAGAAGATACCAGCACTTAACGTATCTGATTTCTTGGATTTCTCCTCGTATATTTGAGTGTTCCAGGAGGGGGAAATGGTCTGAAGAGTTTACGCTTCATTGGAGTAAAGGACAAGTGTGTTACGTGTATGGTAGTGTTTTAGGCATTGGAGTGATTTTAAACGCTGTAGCTTATTAGTATAATAGGATACCCGCAACAGATTAAAAACACATGCTTTGCTAAACTTGAGTGATTGGTTTCTGTTACTGATCATTTTATTTTATTTTTTAAATGTTGTAATTGGTTTGTCTGTTTTATTTTAACGCGTTAAATTTTCCTGGGGAAGTTACTTTGGAAAAACGAAGGAATTTACATTTTAAAGGTGGCTGCTGTTTTTGTTTTTTTGGGGGGATTAAAAACATAACAGAAGTCGAAGGAATTATTTCAGAATTGATAGGTTACAATTTTAATAGTGACTATGTCTAATATTTAGATGTTTGTTAACATGTTTGATAATATCGTCACATTTGAGCAATTTCTTCCCCTCCTGTTGATTGGTAAATTGGTGTGTAGACAGAAATGTATAGCTCACTAGTTTATTTCGACTCACACACATATTGTTGATTACATGAACAAGGTAGCATTGAAGTTTGTCTTGTTATTATTGGTTACGAACTTCAGGGTGCAGATCTTTCCACTTAGCCTTCTCATGGACCAGATACTCTATCTCATTTGCTTATAAACCGAAATCTTGTAGCTTTTTACAGGGGAAATAATTATCACATGGCCAAATGAAGCAATTTGAAAATGCATTTAAAATGAAGGTATTAATTTACTGGGGAAAATACATAGATGTGACAAAAAGCTCACATTTGTTGTTGGTGGTTATTCTGAACCAAGTTAATAGGCTGATTAGACTCTCAGATACCCTTTGAGAAACATTGAGTGTCTTTTATGTAAAATTTTTATGTTATATCCGCTTTGGGAAAGGACTTTTAAACTCATAAGTACCTTCCACCTGAAGTTAGTTGAATGAATAAATATATAAGGAAAACATGATGCAGCAGCACATTTCAAGTATTTAAGAAACAAGAACTAAAAATAACTTTTGATCCTAGATTAATATGGAATATAAGCAGAATTATGATCAATTTTAGATTTTTTTTGAAACAAGTAGTCTAAAATAAATGGATCTTTTAACATTGGGGCATGGAAGGAGTACTTTACTGTATGCTTAACTTCTTAAAATTGACCTTCTTTAAAAAAGAGAGTGTTGAACCATATGATAAGCATACACTCTGAATATTCTCATAGCTATATATTCTGCAAGAGCTGAGTGTTTGTGCATCATAAAATATCAAGAAGTATATTAAAAGTATATAAAAGTACATGTAAGACTAAAGGTAACCGGATCTCTTTATAATTTTTAATGTGAATTTAATATGTTGTGACTGAAAGTGTTGTTTCAATGTGTAGCTGTGGACATAAGACAGTTTAACTTAGATGCTTGTTAAAGGTGAGGTAAAAATAAGATATAAGAGTAATTCACTTTCTATCTATACAGTGAAATTATTTTAAGAAATTTGTTCAGTTTGATCAGCCTGTTTATAAATTGCAAAAATCAAGTAGTTTATAAACTACTCATTTAATAAATGAATTTACAGGTCGACTAATTTTGGAAGTAGTTTATAAACAGGCTGATCAAAGTCACATATGTATATATACATATATAATCACACATATATATGCGTATATAGACTAATTTTCTTTTGGAAGTAGGTAGACAAAACATTGAAAGTTTTTATTTTGTCTAGTGGAAAGAGACTTTAAATGAAAGCTGATTATTGGACACCTCATGTTAGTTTCTTTTGAGTAGTGATTACCATGTAGCAGTACTACTCAAAGATGTGACTCTTAGGAAGAAAAAGTTTGAGCCCAGGCTGGGTGCGGTGGCTCATTGCCTGTAATACCAGCACTTTGGGAGGCCAAGGCAGGCAGATCACCTGAGGTAGGGAGTTTAAGACCAGCCTGATCAACATGGAGAAACCCAGTCTCTACTAGGAATACAAAATTAGGTGAGTGGGCATGGTGGTGCATGCCTATAATCCCAGCTACTCGGGAGGCTGAAACAGGAGAATTGCTTGAACCCAGGAGATGGAGGTTGCAGTGAGCCGAGATCATGCCATTGCACTCCAGTCTGGACAAGAGCGAAATTCCATCTCAAATAAATAAATAAGAAAGTTTGAAGCCACCTGGCTCATGCCTGTGATCCCAGCACTTTGGGAGGCTGAGGCAGGTGGATCATCTGAAGTCAGGAGTTTGAGACCAGCCTGACCAACATGAAGAAACCTCATCTCTACTAAAAGTACAAAATTAGCTGGGCATGATGGTGCATACCTGTAATCTCAGCTACTCGGGAAGCTGAGGCAGGAGAATCACTTGAACGTGGGAGGCGGAGGTTGCGGTGAGCTGAATTAAAGAAATTTGAGCCCCGAGAAAATTTAACAGATGAAAAAGATTCTGAAGAAAGTCCTCTTCCAGGATCCAGTGTCAGCACATGGTTTTGGATTGCTTATACTCAACTTGATTCTCACTTCACAATCCCCAAATGTCCTAATCCAAACAGAATAAGGTAGAGGTTAAAGAGAGAATTTTGAGGGGCATCTGTTATCTGTGTGTAAAGTCCCTGATTATTTGGGGGCCATAATGATATAAAGGGCCAGACTTTTAGATTTCTAAAGAAATATTTTTCCAAAATAAGGAGGCTACAATAGAAATGCTTATTTTGTTTGTTTGTTTGTTTGTTTTTGTTTTGTTTTTTGAGACGAAATCTCACTGTCGCCAGGCTGGAGTGCAGTGGCATGATCTCAGCTCACTGCAGACTCTGCCTCCTGGGTTCAAGTGATTCTCTGGTGTCAGCTTCCTGAGTAGCTGGCATTACAGGTACGTGCCACCATGCCCAGCTAATTTTTTTTTTTTTTTTTTGTATTTTTAGTAGAGACATGGTTTCACCATGTTGACCAGGATGGTCTCGATCTCTTGACCTCGTGATCCACCTGCCTCGGCCTCCCAAAGTGCTGGGATTACAGGCATGAGCCATCGCGCCCGGCCTAATTTTTGTATTTTTAGTAGAGACAGGGTTTCATCATGTTGGCCAGGATGGTCTTGATCTCTTCTTGACCTCTTGAGCCACTGTGCCTGGCGTGATTTTTTATTTCTACCAGGTAGAGCCAATAAAAACAAAATCACACCACTGTGTCTTGTCACCATCATTTCGTTTAACAAAAGGATATTTTCACTCAAACAACTGGAACGAACAGAATCTCTCACAATATATACGATTTTTTATTTTTTTGAGACAGAGTCTTGCTCTGTCACCAGGCTGGAGTGCAATGGGACGATCGATCTTGGCTCACTGTAACATCCACCTCCTTGGTTCGAGTGATACTCCTGCCTCAGCGTCCTGAGTAACTGGGACTACAGGCGTGCACCACCACACCCAGCTAATTTTTGTATTTGTAGTAGAGATGGGGTTTCACCATGTTGGCCAGAATGGTCTTGATCTCTTGACCTCATGATCTGCCTGCCTCGGCCTCCCAAAGTGTTAGGATTATAGGCATGAGCCACTGCACCCAGCCAGAATAAAAGATCTTTAAATGGAATCACTTAGTTATGTTGAAAAGTTTACTTTCAGACTAGCCTGGCTAACATGGTGAAACCCTGTCACTACTAAAAATATAATATTAGCTGGGCGTGGTGTCATGCACCTGTAATCCTAGCTACTCTGAAGGCAGAGGCAGGAGAATCACTTGAACCGAGAAGGCAAAGGTTGCAGTAAGCGGAGATGATGCCATTGTGCTCCAGCTGGGCTACAAGAGTGAAACTCAGTCTCAAAAAAAAAAAAAATGTTACTTTTGTGTTCTTACTTTCCCCATTTTCCCATAAATCAATGAAAATTCTGCTGCAAACTTACACCAGCCTGCCAACTAACATTAAGTTAGCGCTCCCTGCCCCGTTGGTTTGGTATACTGATCTCAAATCTAAGCTCTCCCAGTTCTTAGACTTGTGGCCTTATCTTCATGATGCCTCAATTTGTTGTGTTAAATAGGAATTTTTACAGCTACTTACGGCCTGGCTCACACCTGTAATCCCAGCACTTTGGGAGGCTGACACCTGGCAGATCTCTTGAGCTCAGGAGTTTCAGACCAGCCTGGGCAACAGGGCAAAACCCTGTCTCTACAAAAAATACAAAAATTAACCAGGCACGGTGGCACATGCCTTTAGTTCTAGCTTCTTGGGAGGCCGAGGTGTGAGGATCACTTGAACCCAGGAGGCTGAGGTCACTGTGGAGTGAGCCATGATGGTGCCACTGCACTCCAGCCTGGTTGGTAGAGAGAGATCCTGTCTCAAAAAACAAACCAACCAATCTACTTTGCCAGATGAAT